TCCCTGGCCGCGCCTCCGGTGCGGCGGCGTTAGATGGTGACGGGCTGCAGGCGGCGGCGACGGGAAAGGGGGTCTCGGGGGTGCCTAGAATTGCTGCAGTCTTTTGTGTGAGCAGCTGCCGGTGGCTTATGGGTCAGGAGAGAATGGTGGTTGCTCGAGAAGGTAGTGCTGGTGCTGAACGTCTCTTTGGTGACTGGTGCCGGAGTCTCGTTGCGCCCTCAGCGAGTCTAAACTACCGATACCCAAACCGTCTGGTTCCTAGATGTGCTGTTCTGCGGTGAGCTCCTAAAGATCTCAGATAACGAGGTGAAGTTGCCTTCTTCAGCCTCATCTTTACAGATGTGGAGCTTTGTCTGACTCTCCAGTTTCTCACAGTTGGAGGAAGTATGTTGATTTTCCCTCTACAGATAAAGAGATGTTGATATTATGTAATCTGTTTAATGGTTTTAAAGAGCATAGTAGTAAAACTGGGAGAATCCTGAAGCTAGAGTATTCAAAGGTCTGATCTTTAACTAAAGTGGTGTGCCGTATGCTGCCTGAAGTGAACAGTTGTTTGCCCCTACATATACCTTTATCTGCATATATATATATTACCTCTTAACTCTGAAATTATTGTTCAGAATGAAGCACATCTGCTGTTTTAAGTTAACTGAATATAGATAGCATTGCTGCTTCTGTTGAGCATAAACAACATTCAAGAGTTTTAGGCACTTCCTTTTGGCTCTGTGCTTCCTTATTCTCACAAAGCTTGCCTGTGATCAGCATGGGGAGGAACTGGTTGGAATGCACCTTTTTTTTTTTTTTTTAGGGGCTTTCCCAGTCATCAGCCGTGTTAATCACTTGTTAGATGCTGAGATCTAAATTGGTCCCTGCAGACTTAAGTACTGGGATAATGTGTATGGAGTTCATATTTTCTTGTGTTGTTTTATGTAGCAGCAGATGCAATTTCTGGAGAGGTTCAGATTCTGATCCCCCTCATAGTATTCACATTTTGACTTGGACTTAAATGTGTCACTTGGTATGGGATGTTTGATTTACATGTTATTTGGGCCAAATCTCTTGACTGGCAACACAGGCCTGTTGCTGGTACTACCCTGATGTGTTGGCGTTACCGTGATGTTTTTGCTGTCATAGAATCACAGGCTTGTTCAGGTTGGAAAAGGCCTTTAAGGTTATTGAGTCCAACCGTAACACTAATGCTGCTGCCTAACTGAAAGGTAGCAGAATTTTTGAAAGGAGCATATCAGCTGTTGAATCTGCAAAACTGCAAGGTATAAACATATTTCAACAAGCTTCAGATTAGAATAATTTCCAGGAATCTTTTTGATACTGCTTCCTGATTAATTTTTTTTGGGGTCAGTGATGACACACAAACGTACTTTTTTGGAGTTGTAAGTGGGAAGAGAAAGATTGCTGAGTACATGTGGTTATAGTTGCTGAAAGTGTCTGTATAAAAGTGTAAGATGATTTTTTGAATACTCTTGGTATAGCTGAAGCATTGCTTTTGGGTCTATACTGTACTAATTGTTTTCTGTTAGAGTGAAGGATAGTTGAGGACCTGTCTTACAATAATGGATCAAGGCGAATAAAGAGTGAACAGTGTCTTTGCTTCTGTAGGACTCTCCTAATGTTTATATTTTACTTTAAAACATTTTGAACAGGCAACCCTTGATTCTGTGCTCAGTTATTCTATTTTTTTGTCTCTACTTGCTTCTTTTTAGGTAACTTTGTAAGTTTGTTGGTACAAGACTTCTTTTCTCTGTGTTACATTAAAAACAGTGGGGTCTCATCCTGGTTGCACCCTCTATGCGCTGTAGTGCATACAAATGACAGAGCTTCTTGGCAGTACAAAGAAGGCACTGTGCTTACACCCACCTGAAATTTTATCCAGCTGTCAGTTCATGTTTTCTGTCATAATGTTTTTAGTCTTTGTAAGTCTTCTGCAGTACTCTGATCAGCTCTGTTCCCGCCTGCCCCCTGCTCAGTAGTTTAGATTCCCATCTCTGTATGTGTCCCTCTCCTGCTCCTCTCTGTCTCCCTCTGGATCCTTGCTTCTCGCTGTGCATAAAAATGAGTACTGCTTATTTCCTCTTTTCCTTGTTACCACCGAGAAAAAAGAGAAGGGGTGGGGAGTTAAGAAGGAACAGAATAACCTCCCCATGGCAGGAGGGTTGGAACTAGATGATCTCTGAAAGTCCCTTGAACTCAAACCGTTCTATGATTCCGCATTTGTGGTGCAACCCTACTTAATGCTTTGACTGTCTTCATCAGTGCCCATTTACTCCGTTCTGTCTAGTGTAGATGCAAATAATAACAAATGTGAACAGGAACTTCGTAGCATAAATTAGGTAACTAAAATAGCTCGTTTTGCCACTGCTTTAAGACCAAGTATCTGCTCTGCGATCTTGCATGTGGTACTGCAAAATTGCAAGTTGACATTAAATGTTTAGATAAGTTAATTCCAACCAAGTCATAAACCCCTCATCTCATTGCTGTGGTTGATCTCTGATTTAAGTAATAGATAAACAATGCTCAGATTAAAAATCTGCCTCTACAAATGAATTTACTACTTTTTTCCCGGAGAACGTCTTGTTAAGGTGGTATGTTTCATTTACAAAATAGGAGAGATAAGTCTTAACTGTCAAACTTTCTTTCAGATTTTTTTATTGAAAGTAGATAAAATGGCGACGTTAATTCACACTTTAGCAGACCATAGCGATGATGTCAACTACTGTGCCTTCTCATCGTCATGCTTGGCTACTTGTTCCTTGGATAAAACGGTTCGCGTTTATTCTTTAAAGAACTTTGCCGAGCTCCCCTACTCGCCTTTAAAAGGTCATACATATGCTGTCCACTGCTGCTGCTTCTCTCCGTCGGGACACGCTTTGGCTTCATGTTCGACAGACGGCACTACCGTGGTCTGGGACACTCGCGATGGTCGGATGCTGGCGGCGCTAGAGCAGCCCAGCGGCAGTCCTGTGAGAGTCTGCCGCTTTTCTCCTGAGTCCACGTATCTGGTGTCGGGGGCAGCGGATGGGAGTGTAGTTCTTTGGAACATGCAGTCTTTGAAACTGTACAGGTGAGTGCCAGATACTTTTTGACAGCCTCGTTTGCAATGATAAGAGTATAATTTAAGTAGTACGCTGTGCTGTGTACAAGACTTGCAGGCTTACACCACTGGTTGGTATCGTGAAGAAACAGGAATAGGATTTGGAAGACCAAAAGATTATCAATAGGAGAGGGAGAAGTGCTGAGTCTTTTTTTTTTTTTTTTTTTTTTAAAGTTAAACAGTGCAAAAGCCAGAGGCTTTAAGTGTCGCTAAGTTATCTTTCATCTGAATCCTGATTTTGTTTAAGTTCATAGAAGTGTTTTCCTTGGTTTGACATGAAAACGGGATGTATTGCATACCGCGTGCATCTGGATTCTAAACAGTGGATCAGCAAACTGATATGTAATACACAGTTAGTGCAGGCTGACCATGCTGTGTGCCTTGTATTGCATTATACGTAGTGGGTTTTAATTAAGTATTTAATTAGAAGGCTATTTGGAGTCCAGGAAGGTCTTAGAAGATGGATAGTAATCCAGCAATCATGGAGTTTGGAAACTACTGATGTATCCTGAAACCATACAGCTTAAGACATAACAGTGGCAGACAAGAGTATCAGAGCTGAGTGTGCTAAGTGTGATGGTCAGTGGTTCACGTGGGTTTCCAATAAATATTTGAAACAAAGCAAGTGAGCATTTTTAGTGATGTTGCACTGTTAAAGGCATGAACCTCAGGGTGATCTTCCAAGTCCTCCTCTGCAGCTCTGTATGTCAGTAAAGTCTTCAGGCCAGTCATACTCTGAACTTAGGCAAGACATTATTTCGGTTTTAGAGCAGCAATTACACAACGTCTCTCTAAAGTTAGGGGAGAAGTTAAGAACTGGAGAGAATTGATGAGATGTTTCACTTGGGATGAGGGAGCGGCCGTTTCTGAAAGCCAAACTTGGCTTGATTTTGGTAATCCCCTGGCAGACATGTTACTGCTTTTGTGGCCCTTGCCTCCCACAGCAGTGATTTAGACGGTAATGGTAACGCTTTTCAAAATGATTGGTTATAGTTATCTGAAATCATGTAAATCTGGAAACCTGTCCATAAACTGATAGAATTCTAATAGACTTTTGCCACCTTGTTGTTTGTAATGCATACAGAAACACTGAAATGGTTGTTTTGTTTGCAGAGAATAGAGAGGTATTGATTACATATAATTTCTTAGTTTTATCTTTAAGAAAAATAGGGATTTCAGTCATTAGTATTCTGAAGTCTTAAGTGTTTTATCTATTTTGAGCTATTACTAGTGAAGAGTGGTTTGGTTTGGTTTGGTTTTGGTTTTTGTTCAGAATACTTATTACTGATAGGGTAAAACCCAGAAACACTAAAAAGTAATTTCTTACAAGTATATGCTATTAATATATGCAGTGATGCGTATTTTAGACCTACATCCTTAATTTCCTCCTAGTTGAATGGTGGATATATAATGACTATGTAGAAACTATATTGTTGTTTTAAGCAGAAATTACTCTACTTTGGTGTTTCCACTGTAAACAAACAAGAAAGAACTTGAACATTCCAATACTGTCCCCTTCACTTCGCTTTTAAAAGTTCCTTTCAAAGTGTTAATGTGTCAGCAGTAGTTGGCTTAACTTTAATTGTATGTATTTTGGGATGTGTGTGTGTGTATGTATTTTCAGCTGATGAATTTTTATTATTGTCATTTGTAATTGCAGATAGAAAAGTGCACCTGTCCTGTTTTCCTAAAGCTGAGATCAATATTACTTAAGAATTATCAAGGTACTTAAAAGTTTTATGTCAGAGGATTTTAGTTAACCATCTAATGTCAGTCTGTGGTCCTCTGTTTCTTCTGCAACAGTTGATTGTGTGGGTGCTAAAAAAGAGAACACCTTTTACCGCACTACTGTGTCGCCTGACTCAGTGTATGGAGGGCAATTACAACAAAGGTACCCGGTTACTCCTCCTCACCTCAGCTGTTGTAACTGACTGTTCAAATTGAGAAGTCAGATGGCTATTTAAATCAGCTCTATGATGGATGTGAACAACATGACAGCAAGTTAATATGTATGTTTCTTAAAGTGTTCTCTGTTTCCTGTTCAGTAGTTATGATACTGATACCTGGCCTGAAAGTCTTAAATGCATACTCTGAACACGTACAGTGCTATTTATTTTACTGTTACGTTTTCAGAGCAGAATCTGCAGCTCTTTTTATGAAAGGAAAATGTCAAAAGCTACACTAAGGAAAAAGAATTGTACATATAAAACTAGGAAGCAGTGTAGTGTATTTGATAGTATTCTTAATGATAGAATTAAGGGAGTTAATGCTTTTTTGAAGGTCCTGGGTCTGATTAGAGAGGCTCTCAGGAAAGTTTATTGACTTGTCTTCTGTGGCATCAAGTTTGACACCTCTGGCAGTAAATAAAATATCTATCAGCAAAAGAGAATGAGCAGCTGTTCTACACAGTACAATGACAGACTAAATAAGACTGACATTTCTTGCTGTATGGCTGTTGCTTATGGCTCTGATTTTTTTCCCACACTTAAAGATTAAACTCTGCGTGCCGGGGCAGTGTCCATTAAAAGGAGTGAAACACCTTCAATTGACTGTAGGTTACTGTCAGATAACCTAAAGGCTGTTAGATTGACCCCGCTTCCTTCCCAAGGATTGACCACACTTCCATGTCTGCCAGGACTTTTCTTTTATGATCAGTTTTACAAAGTGCTTTGGCCAACTTAGTTAAAATATAGAAACCAATTTTTTTACATTGCTGTCTTTTATGTACGAGTAGTCCAAAATTAACCTATATTATAAATCACAAAGTATTCTGCACAGCTACATCTTATCTTGTGGGTTAGTAGGTGCACTGTTTTGTCCTTAAAAACAGAAGAGAGAAATTGTTGGAGTCTGTCTGTCTTCCCCCCCCCCCATTTGTATACGTGTAAATGTGTGATATTATTGTGTTGTGTATTTATCTTTGACTTTTAACACTTATCCTGCCGTATAATTTTAACAGTGCATTTCAAATGGTAAGTCCGTACAAATCGTCTTTAATTTGAAAATTATTTTATCACTCAGTCAAAATTATTGCCTTGGGGTGCCATCTCATTTTTTTTCCTCCTGCAGTCCACAAGCAGGTCCTGGTTCCTGCAGCTGTGCTTATTTTGCATCTCTTTCCACACCTGGTGTGAGTTTTTCTCCCTTCTGTTAACGAGCTCCAAAGTGCAAAACTTAGAACAGTTTGGCTTATTGTATCAGATTGCATTTTAGAGGTCACTTCTTCAGAGCATTACTTATTCTAAATTCACATCCTGTGTACTCTTGCTTTTCAGATCTGGGAATGTTGAAGATGGTTCTTTGGTGGCCTGTGCATTTTCTCCTAATGGAAATTTCTTTGTCACTGGATCATCGTGCGGTGATTTAACCATTTGGGATGATAAAATGAGATGCCTGTATAATGAAAAAGCACATGACCTTGGCGTTACCTGCTGTGATATTTCTTCACAGTCAGTTTCTGGTTAGTTATTGACTTGTCAGGGGAGGAATATGAAAAAAAAGGGGTTACTTTTTTTCTTTCTAGCTCTTGTTTTCGTATTCTTTTTGTCATCGATGCTAAAGATATAAATGACATGGGGAAGAGCTGATTTGTTAAAATATTCTGAATGTTCTTGAGTAAACATTGTGGTCAGGTTAATGACAAGGAGCGTACTAGGTCAGCAGCAAGGTGATTAGCATGCTTATGATAGCTTTCAGCAGCCAGTTATCATGTCAGAGTTTTGGAAAATGTTTGGGCAGTGCCTGTAAGTGAAGCCTATCCCTGGGGCCGAGAAGGGTGTTAGGAGCTGCAGTACCTGATTACCTTTCCCACTTTACTCTTTCATACTTTGGTTCCCCAAGGAGCAGGACTGGACTGAAGCAGTGCGGAAGTGTAAACCTGATAAGCTGAATGCTTGAGCTGTGGGATATGAATAGGTAGACTGTTTTCGTGAACCTGACTTTCTCAGTTGGAGGAATCTGGGGGAGCAGTGAGCCCAGAATCTCATGTGTCCCACTAAGATGTGGTACTGTGGTACAGCTGTTTTAGCTGACCTCTCGCTGTACGTTGCATTTCAATTTTGTCGTTATGCGCTTCTTCACAGTTGTAATGGGTAAGAACTTAGTTTTTTCTTTTGAGAATGAAATCTGATATTCTTGTATGTTTGGTTATAGAGATCAAAAACATAAGGCATACATAGCCTAGGCCTTTCTCTGGGCTGATTTGCTTATTATGTTCAGTTTTCATTCGTTTCACATTTGTAAGACTTTCTGTGGAACTAAAATAATTAGAACCTAGATTTCTCTATATGCAAAAACATGTATACTGAAAATTGCATGTTTAAACTTCCAGCTGTCTCAGGGGAAGCTTTGTGTTTGTGTGTACAGGCTTTTAAAATTATTGTTGTGGTTTGACGCGGGTGGGCAGCTTAGCCCCATGCAGCCGCTCGCTCACTCCCCCCCAGTGGGACGGGGAGAGAATCGAAGGCAGACTCGTGGGTTGAGACAAAGGCAGTTGAACAGAGAAAGCACGAGCTGCGTGTGCAAGCAAGGCAAAAGGAGGAAGAATTCATTCCCTGCTTCCCGTCAGCAGGCAGGTGTTCGACCATTTCCAGGAAAGCAGGGCTCCATCGCGCGTAACGGTGGCCTGGAAAGGCAAATGCCCTAAGTCTGAACGACCGCCCCTTCCTCCTCCTTTTGAGCAGCTGTTAGTGCTGAGCACGATGCCGTATGGCGTGGAATATCCTTGGGTCGGTCAGGGTCAGCTGTCCCCACTTTCGGTGCCCCCCAGCCTGCTCCTGGTGGGGGTGTGGGGAGCAGAACAGCCCCTGGCACTGTGCAAGCGCTGCTCAGCAGAAGCTAACCCATCCCTGGGGGATCAACGCCACTTTGGTATCAAATCCAAAATACAGCACCAGGGGAGCTACTGTCCCCGTTAAAACCAGTACAACTATGTCACAACACAGACTTTTTGTATAGTTGTGTGGGAATACTGAAGAGTTGCTTGTCTAAACTTACATAGCTTATATAGTGGGAAGCAACATTTATACAAACAAGAACTTCTATTTCAAATATCTTGGTAGAAATTAATTGCAGTACAGGGAAGTGTCATAGCTGAACAACCAAATAATGTAAATTCTGAAATATTTGCAAGAGGTTGAAAAGCTGAAAGGTTAATTTATATAAATTTTTGTCAGGTAAAAGTGTGTAATAAAGAGAAAATAATGTAGTCATCTGCTTTTGATGGAGGTTGGGAAATTGGACAGAAGCCTCATTGTCAGATGTAGGAAGTAATGCTGTAACTTGTCTTAACAAACTTGTAGGTATACATTTGGGCTTTTCAGATCTACTACAGAGACAAAGTGGTCTCCGTAAAGAGACGTAGGCTTCTGTTTTCAGAGTACACGTGAGTTGCTCTTTCAAAGGTACCAAAAATTGTAACTGAGCAGCCACTGGCATCTTTCAGTGCTAAACACAGCACTAAGTACTGCTCTCTGTGTACCACCTTGTCTAAGAAGGTGGCACAGAGCAGGAAGAAAGCCGGCGAAAAAAAGCAGGACAGAAGCAGGAGAAAGCTGAGGAAGTAGGATGTGGGCATGTACTGAAGTACAGAGTTAGTGACTGAAAGTACCAAATCAGTCAAATGTGCGTCCACTGAAAGGTGTAGGGACAGCATTGAATTAATCTGTCACAATAGAAAGGGGATTAATCTTTAAATAGCACCTCTAGATCTTTCTTGGTGAAAATACTACCCAAAAAACTCCACGTGAACTGAGCTGCATCTGAGGGCAAAGGAACACGTTGAAGCTGAAACAGATCAGTGTGATTGCTGCTGCTCCATTTCCTGTGGAGATTATTTTCTTGGTTTAAAAAAGTATGTTACCAGCCCTTTGGCCTTCTGCCAAGACAGAGAGAAATAGGCAAGAATGCAAGCATTTCCTACACTGTGGAGTTTTTTAGCTGATTTATGATCGTTCTTAATTTTATTTAAGCCATGTGCTATTGAAAGTCAACATTTTTCCTTTTTGTGTGTTTCTTTTTAATCATCAAGGATTGAAACTTCTGGGATTGCTGGCAGATTTAACACATCACAAAATCCATACAAGTAGTGCTTATCTAGTACAAGACAGTTTTAGATTGAGACTCTCTTTACCTGCTTAATTCAGAGCAAGTCAGAACCGGAGTTTCTCATTGGTTCTCAGTGCTTCAGACTATTTGTAACAGATGATTCTCCTACACTTCAAGTGGATTCAGCCACGGTGGCGTAGACACTCGTTGGATCTAGAGCAGTTGTACTGCTGTGCGGGCTTCCCCATCTGCTGCAAAGTTTCAGTACTGCCCTCCTCCTGAATAAGCAGACTTCAGTGAAATGACCTAGTGGTACTGGTAAAAAATGGACAGATCTTGCTAAAATTTTCTCGTGAACCTCAGTGGAAGACTGTGTAGTCCTCCTCCAGGTTATCCCAACAAGCTCTGCGTGTACAATGCTGTAACAGCCCATTAACAAGTTTGCAAGTTGGTGACTTGTAAGAAGGTGTCACGGTCTGTGCATCATGCTGTTAGTTACCAAGAAACATGTGTCTTTACAACATGATAGCTAATGTGTGCTACTGATCTCAGACCCAAATCTTACACTGTAAAATCCTAGCAAAAATGATGCACTTTGATGCTTTAATGTTTAATAGATTTGAGGTAAGTCCTAAGATCTGCCACAATCATAGCAGATCTGATTGTTCCTGTGAACAAACAGGTCTGTGTATACGAGGATTTTATTGTGATGACCGTATGAAATTAAAATCCACTGTATGTGGTGGAAAAATGGAGAAAAAATCTTTGGGGTTACTTTTATAAGGCACTTGACAGTAAACATTTTGACATTTCTGGTAACTACAGAGCTGGAAAGATGAGCCCTTAAATGTCTGTTACAATTTTCTGGTTTCCAGCCTTAATCCTGGTGATTCTTGTAGGAATTCTGACTTGGTACTGGCAGAGGTAATGGCATTGAAGGATTGTTATGGTGACTTGTGTCAAGCAGGTATGGCAGCTCAGTGCAGTAGAACAGCAGAACTAGTTTGGCACAGGACTTAAGAATAATTTAAAAAAAAAATTATAATGGACTGAAACAACACATTTGAAATGGAACGTGGTAACTCAGAAATGTTGATAGCTACTGAACAGAGAGGGGAGAGCTGTAAAACTATTACTGTTGAATTTCATCTTTAATGCAGTATGTCTCAAGTGGTTGGCTGGTCTGCAGTCATGAAATATCACTTAGTTTATAAAAATGAAAAGTTGAACATTTGAAATTATGAACATACTGTGTCAGATACTCTCAAATTTTGTACATGCATATGTGGTTAAGTTTGAGAACTACTGTAGAGGAAATGGGTATAAGCACATAACTTAGGTTGAAAGACTAATATCGTTGCACTCGCTAGATAGAGGAATCAAGTATTTACCATCAAGGAAACTTAGAATATGAACCCAGTTTTGGTCTTTATCTGCTTGTACAGAAAACAGTATAACGGTGATACCTATTTCTTCCGTCTAAATGGTTTTAGAACTTCTGCAGTTGTTATTATGTACACTTTTTAGAAGTAGTACTGAGATAAAGGAAATGTACCAAATTCCAATGTAAGAATACTGATGTAGTTTACTGATATGCTGTATATACTGATATACTGATTTTCAGTGCTTCTGATTTCCATTAATATATTTGAATTTTGTCAGATGGTGAACATGGATTCAGATACTTCCAGTTGGCTTCTTGTGGTCAAGATAATCAAATCAAACTCTGGCTTATTTTGTGTGCAGATTTTTTAGGTGTGTATTGTGATGGTTTTTTCATACTCCAATGTCTTAAGTCTTTAGTGACAGTTTACATCTAAGATCAAATTTATACTGCTGTCATGGATTCACAGCCAAACTAACCACAAATTGAAATTTTCCTTTTAATTGTTTAGCAGGAGAGCAGCTAAAGCATGCAGCACTTCGTGAGGTTGTGCCCTGTAGATTTTATTTAGCAATCTATTTATTGATAATTGTAAAAATAAAGATTTGAAAAAAAAATTTCCCCCAATTCCCTCAAGCTTAATGTTATGATAAACATTTGGTTTTAATTAGTATTTCTGTCTTTTGATAACTAGCAACATTTCTACTGTGGCCTTTGAGCAGGTTGATAGGTTGAAACCTCTTACTCTGCCAGGCCAGAGGGAGGTTTCCTTTCATCTTTCAGTACATCTTGGCCCTTGAGCAAGAGCCAGAGACATTAAAACCATGTTGGCTCCTGCTAAAAAAGCAATGTAGATATGTAACTGCTATGTAGAGACTAGGCAGATGGCCAAAGACATGTTCAGTGGGTATTTTTTTGTAATCTCTCTTATGTAGAATTCTGTAAGGATGAATATTTTGTGTACAGATACACATTTAATTATCTGAAACGCTGTTAGACGTGCTAAGATTACAAAGTGAGAAAGTCAGAGATGTTTAAATTGTCTTTGTGATCTTTTATGTCCTTTTTTTGTAGACAGTATGTTAGAGTCAGATCTTTGGTGCACCTTTACGCTTACAAAAGCAACTTGTCTTATACCTTGTCAAATATGTCCATAGGTAATAATTTTCTTTTTGTATTTTTAGGTGTTGAATTAAAATATAAATGCACATTGAATGGACATTCTGCCCCAGTTCTGGCTTGTGCATTCTCTTATGATGGGCAGATGTTAGTTTCAGGGTAAGCAGTATCTTGTTTAAATGTCATGCAGATGGCTGTCCAGGTTCACACTTCAGTAACACAGAAAGTTCAAAAGAATTGGAGATTTCAAAATACATTTCCAGTAATTAAGGACTAGTTCTGTGACCTCCAGAACTATTGAAGTGTCTTTCAGATTGGTCTGTGTCTTGTGGGTGATGGAGTTTGAAATCTAGGATGTTGTGAGCTCTCTTCTCTTGAGTACTGTAATGAGATTCATGATTTCCTTTTGGGGGGCATTTATGTGGTCTTCCGTGGGGATCCTCTAGCATCAATTAGAAACACAATTCTACATTGCAGTCTTACTGTCTCTTTGGGACACCATTTAGGATTTCTTTCTCACTCATGCACTTTCAAGAACTTTTTAGGAAGTTAACTATCTTGAGATTTTTTGTCTTTGATAGATTTGGTTTAAATTAAAATTTTTTTCACTGATCCACACCCAGACTATGGCAACATAAGCACTTTTTTCCTAAAAAGTGCATGATTGAGATAACTGTAGACCTGTGTGTTTGATGTCAGCCCTACAGAATAATGGTTAAGACCCAAATTAATCATGGACCATCAGTTAGAGACTAGTATTATTATTAGTCTTTGTTGGAGGGTGTTAAGGGAGTTGCCAGTGCCATTGCAAAGTCACTCTATTATGTTTGAAGGGCCCAGGAAGGTGGAGGTGATGGGAAGATTCCTGATGACTGGAAAGATGCAGAAGTCCCACTTAACCCCAAGAAGGGCAAGGTAGAGGATCTGGGGAGCTACAGGCCAGTCAGCCTAACTCCAGTCTCTGGGAAGGGTGTGGAGCAAATCCTTCCAGTGGGCTTGGAAGCCATTTCCAAGCACAGTGTGTTTGGAGAAGGCAGCA